CGCTCTCCTTCGGAAGACCCAACGTGATTGCATGGAGAGCCTTCCTGCCTGTTCCTCTCCTCTACCTCACTCACCCCCTTTCCCAGTAGAAGCACTGCCGAGCAGGGACTACATGCCCCCTCTGTAAAGACTTCGGGGAAGTGGCCCGCTGCCTGCTCTTCCGGGGCATGTGTGTACAGATGTCTGGGGGGGGGGGGGGGCAGCTGACAGTCGCAGCGGAAGGGGTTGCGGGGGGGAGGACAGCCATCACTCCCCACATCCTCTTGCACATCACCCAGGACCTGCAGCCAGTTCTCCACTGGAGTCTGCCTGGTTCATAGCCGGCCCTGCCCTCGAGTTTAGTCGCTCCCATCTGGGTGAGACCCTCCCTGTTGGCCACTTGGGCTGAAGAATGCTGGGACTCTTGGGAAATCCCCAGGGAGGCCCTGTGTGGGGTAAGATGGGACACCCTCACGTAAATCACCCCAGCTCTGTGAAGCTTCTGTTTCCTCGCTTGTGAACAAGGGGAGGGAATAATGATGACATCTCCGTGTGTGCTATCAATAACGGCTCGATGCTGTCGGACAGAAGCTCGAGCCTACGCCATGGGTGGGTTCTGACCCTCAGCAGCCTTCTAGGACTGCATAGCAGGGGCCCCCAGGGCTTCCACAGCAGGCAGGCTGCCTGCCACACCTTTCTCCTGTGTGGGTTCCACACAGCCGTCCTCTGGTTCATAGCTGACTGTGTTCCTGCTGCACTGCGGGGCTGGCTAAGTACTCCCGGCCTGTGGGTGCTTAAGAGGAGTGAGTACAACCTAGCAAGACCCACACCAGGCACTCAGGAAGGAGCCTGAGCCAGGGCAGAGCATCTTGACAGGAGCTTCAGGCGGCCCACACCTGGAGCCAGCCCCGCTGCCAGTTGCTCCATCCAGTCTTGAGAAGCAGGGGCCTTAGGCCAGGACAGGGAAGAGGCACGCCGTTCTTACAGGCTGGGTGAAAAATAGAGCCCAGCCAACCCACCCCTCTTCCCGGCAACGATGAGGAAACAACAGGAAGCTGGTGGTGGACTTGTGGGGACCCAGTGGCCATTGGAGCCCTATGGAGTGCAGTTCTGCTCTGGCCCACGTGGGGAGGCCATGTGCGAGTCCCCTTCACATCGTCACTTCCCTGTGGGGGACGCCGGCCTCCTCGTGGGGTCCTTTCTCAGGGTCTCCCCAGCAGGCGTCGGGTGGCTTTCCACCCTCCCTTCTCTGTCTCCTTCTCCTTCCCTCACTTGCATCGTTGCGGTTATTTCCGTACAGCAGCTCCGAGTCTGAGATGGAGGACGAGGAGGACGAGGACGAAGGGGAGCCTCAGCTGCCCACCTCGGACCTGGGCGGCGTCCCTTGGAAGGAGGCGGTGAGGATCCATGCCCTTCTGAAAGGACAAAGTGAAGAGGAACTAGAGGCCTCCAAGAACTATGTGCCTGGGACGGAGGAGGAGGATGAAGAGGAGGAGGAGGAGGAGGAGGATGAAGAGGAGGAAGAATATGAAGAGGAGGAGGAGGAGGAATCCAGTGAAGGTAAGGCAGAGTCTCTTACCCAGCCCTTGCCCCTCGCTGAGGCGGCCTGTTTTGTGACTGAGCGGGAGAAATTCCTGAGCCTGCAGCGGCTCTGCCGCAGGCACAGGGGGTGGGAAAGGACACTGGGGTCCGCAAACCCATCAGCATTGGGAAGAACCTGGCCTCTGCTTGCGATCTCCCAGCCGCCACGGGACAGCAGGGTCAATGCTACGCCTGCATCCCAACGAGCCACCTGCTCTTCCTTCTTGCCCCATCTCTCTCCCCACTCCATTTCTGTCGAGGACGTGTATTTTGATAAAGGGGGGAAGGGGTTAGCTTTGTAGAACTTTCCCTGTTTCCTCTTGGGTTTTGAAGGCTGGGGGCATGGAACCTTGTTCTGGCTTGGAGTCACCGTCCCTGGGGAGGAGGGTCTTGGCGCTTAGGTGTCCCCTGGACAGGTTGACAATGTGCAGAAGAGCATCTTTGAACCAATGTCCTCAGAGGAAGCCTCCTGGCTCCACTATCCAGGCGTTCTGGCTGCTCCAAAATAGTTTTCCCTCCGTCCCCGGCTCCCTGTGACCCT